TTAATTCAATGTTACAAAGTGTTGGATTCATTCTGTTTGCAAGTGGAACAGATTTCCAAATCACTCTGCAATTAGTACAGTTTGATCTAACCAGCCTATCTCTGCATGGGGTAGCCTTCTACTGAAACAGCAGGATCGCTGTCAGAAATGGAATGTATTTTCCGTATGGCTGAAAGTATGGCTGTGACACCTGCTTGCACTACATCATCTTTGGCAAAGGTAATTGCTGAATGAATATTCTCAATAAGGGAAAACAGTAACCAGACTTAGAAAGATTTTTGTTATGAAAAATACCTCAATTAACAAAAATAAAACTATCCGCAAGCACAAATGATTGCTACGTGTAATATCGTCAGCGGAAACCAAGAGGAAATAGGACAATGTTAGGCTGAAATGGGCACAATTAGCCATTCCACAATGGATACAGATAAAGGAATTGCAAGTGACAACAGGAAGATTCAGGGGACTAAGGGAATCGAGATGCTTTGGTGTGAAATACTCCTAATCACTTCAACACCACAAATAGGACGGAATGGTAAAGTCCTTCTCCACCTAAAAAGTCCATCTTCATGATCCACCTATTGCTACCACAGATTTCTGATTCTCACAGGACAACCTGTACTGCTTCAGCATATGGGGTGTTCTGAAGGAACCAAGTTTCATTGGAGCAACAAATGTGCTGGACAAGAATCACGCAGTGAAACCATGTGGCACCATTCAGCAGCGGATCAGTAGGAATGTGTAGGGTCTGCTTCGTTATTGTCGTATTTTTCCATTCCCAGAGCTCTGCGTGGTCAGTGTCAGCACTCCCATTTTCAATACAGGATAACCAATGCTCACTCCAGCTGGGACTGCCTCATGTGACACACCACTCTGGGAACAAACTGAGCATCTATCTGTCCTTTCATTATTCCCGAGTTTGTCCACCAGCAATGGACAAAATCAGAGCTTGGTTTGATGAGCCAAGTTAAGCTCTGATGAAATCTCTATGTGGACTCATAAAAGACACCAGTCTGGCCCTGTGTTTGATTTTCCTCTAGTGTGACATCTGACTGTGCTTTCCTCTGCAGGAAACAAACATCCTCTTGGATAAAGCAGGGACTGGAAAGCCACAGAGGCACCCACTCTCATGTTCTGCTCCTGGTGCGGGAACAGAGAAGGAGGCTGAGGCAGAGTTGGAATGGGATGGGCAGCAGGTCCTCATCCAGGACAAGCTGGTGCAGCTGCCCTGCAGACAGCACAGCTCTACCAGGCCAAGGGCAGTTTGATGTTGAGACAGCAGCACAGGCTGCAGAAAGCCCTGCCCATGCTCTGCTGCCAGTCAGTCCTCCGTGGTTCATGCTTTGGTCCTAAAATTTGAAGCTGCCTGCAAGCCTGGCCAGCAGTGCCTGATGAACCTCCCCTCTCCTGTGTCCTTGACAATGTGCCGGAAAACAGAGGAGCTGCTAAGGAAACAAATGTGAGTTGTGCTTGTGAATTACTTGGGTTTCTTGGCATCTGGCTGAAAATTGTGGCACTCGTTCCCAGAACTCCCCAGAATCAGGGAATCCTCCTTCCTCCACGTCACTCCGTTGTCTCCCAAGGGAAAAGAAAAAAATACAGACATTTGAACAAGGAAATAGCAAGTGAGAATACAGAGATGTGTACAGGCTTTTATGATATGGGAACTGGGGAAAAAAACAGGCTCTGTAAGTACCAGTACCATGAGCTGCAGCATTGCCTGCTAGTGGCAGTGGGGAGAGGGACCCTCTGACAGGCTGCATTCACCACAGCCCACTTACCCACCAGGTGCATTTATTTGGATGCCTTTCCCATTTCTCAAAATTGTTACCTAATGCAAGAAAATTCAGAAGGGGTTAAATCATGTGCTGCGAACCAACTGTCAAGAAGGAGAAGATTTGAGAGTGAACATGTGAAACCAGGGAGAAGGGGAACAAGCAGCTGCTCTAATGGGATGAGCTCAGCCCCTCCAGGTGTCCCAGGAACAGGAACACGTGCCCTGGCAGCCACAGTGAAGGCAACAAGACTGGCAGTAACTGCAGCACTCAGAAGTGGGGCAGCAACAGCACAGGCATAGCCGCCCTCTGGATTCTTGCTGGGGCTCCATCGCATGCATTTATTGCAGTTGCGTGTGCCCACACTGGTGCAGAATGGGTGAAGTCCTGAGGGGATCTGGCTATCCCACAGCTCTAAGGCAGGCACAGATCCAGGGAAAGACGGAGGCTGGGAGAGAAGAAATGGTCTGGCCAAAAACATGTCTAGAAATCCCCAGGGTCCCGCTGGAGAGCAGTGCTACAGCCAGGTTCCTCCCCACTGAGCTGAGCAAGTTCCTCTCTGCAGCAATCAACGCAATGTTTTCTTTTCTCAGAATCAAGGATTGCTCCATCAAACAAAAGATTTTCCACCTACCGAGTCCTTCCTCAAAGATGGGGCTCTATCTACCATCCACTGATGTTCTCTTTCAGGAAACACATGTATGAGTGAGTGTGATGAGAGAGCACCCCACATCTTTGTAATGTCTACAACATACCAGCATCCACAGTGTGAAATCCCCATTTGGTTTCAGGTCGTCTCTTTGCCCTTTTTTCCAACCACTTCAGCATTTTTGAGCTTCTGAAAGTGTAGGAGTTTCTACTTTTTTGCATAATTAGGAAATTGAGAGCTGTGGTTTATCTACTTGTTTCCTGTGAAACACAAAGGGTTGAGAGATTGGGGGAGTGTGTGGGGTGGGGTGTTTAGATAAGGCTGCCTAGAGAGTACAAGGATGGGTGTGCAGTACCACAAGGAGAGATTTTTCCCTGGGTCCCATTGGCATAAAGAGAAGACTGCAACTAACATTTGTCTGTGGAACTAGACTTCTTGTCTGTGGACTTGACTTCTGAGAGTATCCCTGACTCCCAAAGGGATGTCCTGCCATTTGCTGTCACTGTAGCTCTCAGTCTGTGGTTCAATGGCCACGACAGCCCTCCTCTCTTGCCAAGGGGCCCTGCAGTGCTGGCCAAGCACCCTCTTCTTCACCAATGTTCATGACATTTTCTGCTGTGAAAATCCTTTCCCACATTGCAGTGTTTGCCACAGAAAAGTTTTGTTGACTATGAGGTGTTTTGAACAACTTGATAAGGAAGGGGCATGGAGGGTGAGGGATGTCTCATCCATGAAGATATGGGCAGCACTGATGGAGAGCTTGGTGCTCCCCCATCAAGCTGCCCTTTCCCATCCAAGCCTCGGCCTGACATGGGCTGGGACTGCCCAGATGGGGAAATGGCTCAGGGAAAGCAGGAGGAAGGCATGCCATGATTCAGCAGCACTCCTTTTTGCAATCAGCTTTCCAGCTGCCAAAAGAAGGCAAAGTTCCTGTTTGAAAAGGTTTTCAGTTAAATATATCATAAAAGGTAATAACAGATATTTCAAGATGTAAACAGTAGCTCTTTTCTTTAAGGGAAAAAAAAAAAAAAAGGCAATTACAGCCTTTGCATGTTGCTAGATGTTTACTAACATGTAACATAACTCTAGGGATCAAAAGTGGGGAAAAGAAACTGGATTAAAGGAAATGTGGGCTTTTTTTAACTGAAAGTGTGCACCATAAAACTATTATGCTGAGAGGATGACTAATGTAACCAGTGTGTGTTTTGAAGCGTGTCATGAACACTTTTTATGCTTTCTGAACACACAAAGAGAAACCCCAGGAGAGAATTAATTTACAAATCTGATTAAGCATAGTGCCTAAGTGGCAAAAAGCATCATACAATAAATAGTAGACTCCACAGGTGAGCAAAGCTTTAAAAAAATAAAACAAACATACTCTACAAAGAGCCCAGATGTGTGCATTTTGGATAGTTTAATATGTTTGAATAGATGTCAGAGGTAGAGACAATGAAAGCAGAGGTTACGCTGAAGTAATAATACTGACCTCTTCTTCATTAAGCCATCATACTGCCTGCTAGTGTAAAGCACATATCTGAATTTGGAAAGCAAAGGCAAGGCTGTGAACAGAAGAATGAGTCCTAAGATAAGGATTTTCTGCTTGATGTCAAAAAAGACTTTAAGTGTATTGCTTGGTCAGTCATAGAGGAATAAGTAGGGGTGGACCAAGAACCTGCCTGGGTTTTTTTCCTCCTCACCAGACACAACCTATTCCCCACCACTGACCCCCAGAGTAGGGCCAATCTACCCCAGCACCAAGTCTTTCCCCTTGGGTGCAAGATCTGTGCTGCTTTGCACAAGGTCATAACAGGGTCCTGCTCCAGCTGCTTTTGGCACCAGTCTTGGCTTCTCAAGTCTCAACAAAAGCTACCTTTTGTGTGGGTTGTGTCAGCCTTCGTTCATGCACAGTTATAGTGTAGTTTATGATAGCGTTTCAGAACTGAGCAGTACTATTGCTCAGCAATCAGGGGTTACAACTCCTCAGGAACTTTCTGAGTTTGCAGGAGTTTGGATGCTAATTACAATACCTTATAGCCATAGACCAGGGATGCCTTCAAACTCCAGACATGTTTATTAGAAGTTAAAGCTTTAAGTCTAACCAGTGCACCTCTGAATATTACGCCTATCTTTTTATACAGTGGGAATATACTTTTACTAATCTTCTCACCCCCCTGGCATAACTGACAGCATCTATAACACTTAAACAACCCTCATCATTTAATTAAAAAACAGAGAGGTGACAGAGTGACTTGGCATGACTTACACTTTCCCATGTGAGTGAGTGGTGAAATTCCCCATCCTAATATTGTTATGGAAATTGTCTGATACAGGTCTACCTTTCACCATCCTTAGCACATCCAAATGGGAGGCAAAAGTGAAAATCCATCCTGTGTTACACTGATCCCAGTGAATAGAAGGAGGACCATTTTAGTCCTGAACAGGACTTGAGGTATCCAAGTTACTACAAGTTATTACAGGTATCCATTCCTTTAGTGATGAGATCTGGGATTTTTCTGGGTTTCTACTTCTCTCTTCATAGGGAAGATTTATTCATAACAACTTTCTCCTACCTTCGTCTGTTTTCTCCGTGTTGACTGTAAGGTCTTCACATTAGAAAAAGCTCTCTCATTGTGTGTAGGTCATCTAGACTAGTCTTCTGTAGATACCAACAGACCAGCAACAATGAAGAAGAGCTGAAGAGCAGCCAGTGTCCTGAGAAGGTGGAAAAAGGAGAATCCATTAAGCAATGCCCTGAAACTTCTTTTCTATGGGCTGGTAAAACACACATTCACTTACACAATGCGGGCACTGTCAGTGAGGCAGGAAGTTGTGTCCTCGGTATCAGGTCTCTGTGCTGTAACTGCAGGGAGTCCAACACCTTGGACGTGGCTCAGGCAGAGAATCTGTGTCACACGAAAGGAGAGGAATGGAAACAGCGTGAAACCATCGGCAACAAAGGAAGGCGAACAAAAACAGGACAGAAGGGATCAGAGACACAGAGCCAAGTACAAGGCAAAAAAACAGACCTGTGGAAAGCTGGTAGGAAAACAAATAAAGTAAGTTTAAATTCTCCATCCTGCCTCCCAGTTTCTTCCACCTCACTAGCTCCTTGTTACTGAAATTTTCTCGCAGTGTGCTAAAATCAACACAAAGGATGTGGCATCCCACATGACACTTGCAGGGTAAACATCTGCTTGGGGATGAATCATAGAATCACAGAATACCCTGAGTTGGAAGGGACCCACAAGGATCATCAAAGTCCAACTTCTGGACCTGCATAGGACACCCCCAAGAACCCCCATGTGCTTAAGAGTGTTGCCCAAACACTCCTTAACTCTGTCAGGCTTGGTGCTATAACCAATTCCCTGGGGAGCCTGTTCCAGTGCCCAAACACCCTCTGGGTGAGAACCTTTTCCTAATATCTAACCTAACCCACCCTGACACAGTTTCAGGCCATTCCCTCAGGTCCTGTCACTGCTCACCACAGAGAAGAGATCAGTGCCTGCCCCTCCTCTTCCCCTCAGAAGGAAGTTGTAACTGCAATGAGGTCTTCCCTCAGCCTCCTCTTCTCCAGGCTGAACAGACCAAGGACTTCAGCCACTCCCCACACAGCTTCTCCTCAAGACCCTTCACCATCTTCGTTGCCCTCCTTCGGATTCTCTCTAATGGCTTAATATCCTTCTTACATTGCAGTGCCCCAAACTGCCACAATGTTCACAGTGAGGTTGCCCCAGTGCAGAGCAGAGCAGGACAATCCCCGCCCTGGCTCAGCCAGTGATGCTTTGCCTGATGCCCTCCAGGACATGGCTGGTCCTCCTGGCTGCCAGGGCACTGCTGACTCATAGGAAGGTTTGCATTTTGCATACATCCCATTTAGCAGATACAGTGCTGTGTGGGTTACATAAGGCTGGGTCATAACCCCCACATGCTACAGCATCTTAGATTCTGGTCCCCAAACAGACAGAGCAGTTTAAGTGGTATTTTTTTGCATGCAAGACTGCTTTTGGCAAGTTTTTCCTTTTGGAGGTCTTCCTTTTCCCCTCCATGATGTCAAAGAAGTGTTTTGGGCTTGTTGAGCAAAGATCTTTCCTTTGCTGGGATTTAGTGCCTCAAGCAAAGCCCTGAACCCAACAGTCATCTTGAAGGTTTAGCTGGGAAGAATAATGGGGAAGCTGCACGTAGGATCATTGTTTGGCCAGACCTATGCATCCCACCTGTGAGCCCTGAAAAAAGTAATCACTAAATCAGTCCTATCCACACAGCAATAGCAGGAGTCTGACAACACTTAGATACTCATTAGCATGATTGATTTCCCATTATCTAATTAATTACTGCAGATTTCACATTTTTACGTTACCTGCTCTGCCATTTGCCCAAGAACGGCAAATGGCCCATCACCACAAAGTGATGGCACTGAATTTGTCTTTGTCCTGTGCTTTACATTGTCCCCCAAATTGGTGCAGAACTCCAACCAGGCACTGGCAAGAGTGGCCCAGGAGGTCTCTGGGTGCTCCATCCCCTGCCTGAGGCTGGAGCCAAGCCTCTTGCCAGCTTCTCATGCTGGAGGTGCCAAAGGTTCTCCAGGTAGCCCATCCCCGTGCCTTGCTGTGCTCGCCAACAGAACATTTTGCTGATATCTGACCTCCTTGTTGCACTTTAAATGCATTGCTTCTTCCTCTCTTGGATGCTGAAAGCTGATGATTTCCTGCTTGCACTAGCTTTTTTGTTGCATAAGGAAGGGAGCTTGTTACAGTCATCCCACCTGACACTTCACTGTTTCCATACATACACCAAGAAAAGAGAGTTGGCCATTTTCCGTGCTTTAGGTGGAATAGGAGACTGCAAGACAGTGTGAAATCAAGCCCATAATTATTTATTCTAAACCATACGTTACAGATACGGTTCCTACAGAGTGCTCATCTAACATTCAGTTTCATTTCTCCATAGGAGTAATTAGCTTGCAATGAGGAAAATCATTTAATTAGGCCCACAACTGATTAGAGCCTGGTGCATAGCCTATCGAAATAAAGGAGAAGATACAAATTGATTTCAACGTGTTTTGGGTCAGACCCAATCTTCAAAGCAAATAGAGAGATAAGACAGCATCTGCTGAGTATTCACCTGCCAAGGCTTTGTGCTGATCTCTAATTTTAGGTCCTACAGGCAATTGTCCAGGTTATTTACCACCTGGGCTGTTTTGATCTTCTCTCAAATGTATGTATTGATGTACGAGCTCTCTTATCTCTACGATGATAACACTGGCCCCAACTATAACAGCAGCAAGAGGCTCAGGATCAATACTGATTCCTCCATCATTCAGCTGAACAGCATTTTATTTACCTAATTACTAATATCTGTTAAGGGCCTGGACTGGAAAATCTTGACTAAGCAGTCTAAAATGCTATAGCTGGACATGCTATAGAAATGCAGAGTGTTATTATCACTGTACAATACGTGATGTACCTACAGTCTTCCTGTCACAAATTCACTTGGTTCCATCACAGCTAATACAAATAAGTGACAGAATCCTATGGCTGGCAGTACATTTTCATCAGCCACATTAGGTATTATTTTTTCCCTACTGGGAATAGAACTCAGAAATTTGCTTACATAATTACTGCAAGCCTATAAATATGTTACAGATATCTGTCCTCTGATAAAAACCTGTTCTCCCATATAGGTATGCAGACACTTGGCTCCTGGAGAATGGCTGTATGGAAAGACATCACGGGTCCATCTCTAATTTCCTTCTCATCTCAAAAGCTGATTCACCCAGATTACAACTCGATAGATTTTGCATGTCCAAGCACCCAGATGAGCAATTCCCATGCTTAAATTTGTAAACATAACTTTTTCTTTCTTGGTTCCTCCTCCTTAATAAATATTCTATAAACTAACAGCCTCTATCTACTTTATTGGTCTCCATAGGACACATGAACTCATTCTTCCATATCCAGATGGATTTTGAGACAGAAGTGCAATATAAATTCATTGGAGCTTCTTCCTATAAACTCAGCAGACATGACTGACAGATACCCAGGACGCAGGTACCTCGGGCAGAGAAAATGTTACGTTTTTTACTTTACAGAATCACAGAATCAACTAGGTTGGGAAAGACCTCTGAGATCATCGAGTCCAACCTATGACTGAACACCACCATGTCAACCAGACCATGGCAGTAAGTGCCATGTTCTAAGGACAGATGTCACTGAGACTGTGTCACTGACTGATTCTGTTCATAAATGCCAGTTGCCTCCCTCCTGAAGTGGACATTCTGTTTGCCAAAGGCAGGCTGGCTTCAGCTCCCTTTGCTAGCACATGTGCACAACTGTGCTCTGTTTCTCCCTCTGTGCTGGACTGCAGCAGGGTGCTAAGCGTCAAGGCAGCCCAGAAGATGATCACAGCAAGGCCGAATATTCTTTTACTGCTATATGATGGGCTTGTGTCAAAGTTACCTAACAAGAAGGTCACTCTAACGAAGTGAGTCTGAGCCATGATTTCTTCAAAGCCTCTTTGCATTGCACTAGTCTATATATTTTGTGGAAGCTTAATGCAATACAAGTGTACACAAAGCCCCTTGTGGAAGCTTAATGCAATACAAGTGTACACCAAGGAAATGTAATAAGACCATGACATGCCTGAGATTCAGACCTGAAATCATGTAACAAATCCTAACCCTGCAGTATATCTTAATGCCAAGCATGCCAGACTGGGGACTGGGATACCCAGCCCTCCTCCCAGCCCTTCTCCTGCCTTTGCTGAATGACGCTGGCCAATTGTTTCGCCACTGTCTTGTTTCTTTTTTGTCTTTTAAAATGAAAGCAGTGACACCACTGCCTTCTGTGAAGCGCTTCCAGTGTGGCAGCCTCAGTGAGGATTTTTAGGATGAAGCTTTTCAAAATTGCCAGGCATGGTTTAGGCAGAGCAGGATGATGGGAGCAAATCAGTGTCTCTCAAGCTTTTCAATCTATTCCTCACTTCAATCAGTTAAGAATAATTTCATGCCTGATCACAGAAATGGCTGCAGGGCCTGGCGGCAGGGTACTGCACGTCTCGCTAGTCCGGGAGTGCTGGCGGAGAGGGGCAATCGAGGTCCCTGCAGCCAAACTCTCAAGGACGCTAAGATACAAATGTTGTCTTTCATAATAACAGCAATTAACAAGAAATGAATGTTACAAGGGACTGGCATTCAGTTTGAAGTACTTTTTTTTTTTTTTCTTTTTTAGATTTGACTTTTAAGCATGTGTGTACTATAGCATTACATAAATCCTTCCTAAATCCCAAACAAAACCAGGAAAAATTCAATTGCTTTGGGAAAGCCAGTGACTCAGTGCAGCAAACAACTAAATGGTCAAGGCCAGGCAGCAAGCTGGGCTAGTGAGCATCACGTAGAGAGCCCAGCAATGCAAATGTGTGGGAGCTACATGGTCCATAGGACCCCAGAGTATCCATAGTACTTCTTGTGGTCCTAGACCAAGCTACTCTCCAAGCCTATGCCTGGGTAGAGTTCAAGGGGTGTGGCAGGTCAAGGACCAACCCAGGAAGCACATGGGGTTGAGACTGCACAGACATGACTCCTCCACACTACACAGTCCCTCAGTACTGCAGCAGCAACTCGTTAACCCCGATACCCCACATACCTTCATATCACATAACCTCAGCTTTAAGGTCTGAAAGCAGCTCCCTAAAGGGCTGCCACACATCTTCAGGCACTTTGAACTTAAAAAACTCACCCCAAACTAAAAGCAAACCACACATTTAATAAAGTGATGACTAAAAGCCACATGTGCACCAGTAGCAGTCCAGAGGAGATGCGGGGCCAAGCAGCTGCAGTGACACCTGCCATCTGAGATCAGGGATGGAGAATGGTCTTTGACCCCGCTTTACTCGGCAGAGTAAATAG